TTTCCTCTGTCTTTCCTGCGAACTGCAGAATAGCACAGGTGAGAAGGGATGTGCTTGGTGGGATAAAACATGCACAGTATCATTTATCAAGCAGACTTGACCAAGGTATAGCAAGTACTGTCTGTTGTTAAGAATTACAGTCAGTGTATTTACCTTACTTGCATTTTCATTTCAAAATTCATTTTGGCAAAATAATGCAAATTTGCAAAACTTTGATCGTAATTTGAATTCTTTTTTCCTACTTTGGTGCATTCATATTTCCATTATGTTATTTAATTCTCTTCAAAACTGCTTTTAAAAAATTAATGCTATAAATTAAAAAAATTAATGCTCTTATTTAAAGGAATGTTCAAGGGTCTGTGCAACCTGATCTAGTTGGAGGTGTTCCTTCCCACAGGAGGGAGTTGGACCTAGATGATCTTCAAGGTCCCCTTCCAACCCAAACCATTCTATGATTAAGTGAAGTGTTCCCTACCTGTGTCACTGCATTGGTTTAATTTTTAGGTGCTCTTGCTTGTAGTATTTGCCATTGGTTAGGCTATGGTTAGTTAGTGTGTTGATTAAAAAATATAACCCAGTTGTTATTGGTTGTTGGACATATGTTAGAGACTGGGCAGTCCTCAGAGAAGCAGATGCTGTGGCTTGATGATGCAGATTCTAACTAATGTGGGGAATGAACAGCATTTTTTATTGTACTATAAATATGTGGAACTCTTAAGTGACAAATACCTTGCCTTTGGAGATGAGAATGGAGTTATGCTAAAAGCAATAAATACAGTTTAGTAGAAGAATTTGGCAAGTGCTCTTCAAGTGATGATTTTCAACACTTGCAGATTACTTGCTGGTTTCAAGTAGTCCCAAGGCAGGGAATTGTACTAGGCTGTTTCTGCATGTTTGAATTGAGGCTTGATGATTCTGATGATCACTGTTGTCTGGCCTGAACAGTTTACTACTATCACTGCTGTCCTTAAATAAAAGGTTTTGATGGGCAGATTTTACAACCTGATGAAATACTGTTACAAGGTGCAGTCTTGTTTTCTGCAATTTGTATCTAAGTTCACCCACATGTTTGGGTATATAGAGCTCTCCAGATGAGTAAAGTGTAACAAAATTTCAGTTATTCAGCAATACTGGAGGCTTCTGCTCCCTCTAGGTGTGAAGTCTATTTACACAACTGCTTTATCTGTGAGCATGACAGCAAGAACAGGTGACTGTGACAGCTATGGCTGTGACTGTGTCAGATCAAACTTGTATGTATTGATGGGTCCCCACATTGTACTGAGAAAGATAAATAGAACTGGCATCTTGCCCTTTCTGCTGTAAATCAATTGTGCTATTTGAATATGAGAGAAGAGAAAGAATGAAGCTGTTCTCTTGAAATCTAGGTTTCAAGGAAGTCTAAGCTTATCTATAATACTGAAAGTTCTATGATACATCTGGAGACTGTATAGCTGTGCTGTCAGACTTAGTGGTCCACTCAGAATTTACTGCTGAACTCTTAACTTCAAGATCAGAAAGTACAGGCAACTAGACTGTAGCCATACTCAGAAGGGATGTGTGCAGCAACTTGTGTAGCTACCAACCCAGTGATTTGGAAGTAGAGCTGGAGGAGGAGGAGCCCTGACAGGGGCAGTTTACAAACATGAATGATAAGATTATTGTAGTCCTGCTAATGAGCTTCCAGTCTGGTTGAGCATCATAGTAGGTTGTGCATTGTGTTTTTGTCTGAGACCTGGTCTCAGGAAGGCAGTAGAATAGGATGTAAAGCTCAGCATCTTGTGAGCTTATCTCAGTATTCTGTGGTATTCACATAACAGTTTTGATCATATTTATCTTTTCTCGAAGTGCGTTTTGATTAGATAATCAGTAATAAATATTTCAGTCCTTCTTCAAGTTAACTAGATTCATTCCTGTTTAATACAAGCATCTCAACTGCTGGTGAGTAGCGATATTAAAGTTGGTAAAAAGGAAAAGAAGTGTAGCTGCTGTATAAATAAAATTATTTTAAAAAGTCCTGCATTGTTGCTAAATTTAAAGAGACTGAAGAAAATTGCCATGACACTATCTTACTACCAATTTCTATTCTCAGACCAATTTCTCAAGCATATCCTCTTTCTGATTCTTGATTTGAGTGTTCCTTTTTTTTTTTCTTAACCTCCTCTCTGCAGTGCATCCCAGATTAAAAACTATTTCAGTTAACTTTTTCAGGAAAAAAAATTGCAGTAGATATCACACATTAATGTCTTTTTTAAAAAAATTAACAAAGCCAAAATTAACTTAATTGCAACTTTTACAATTTTATTCCCATGCCTTCATTTTAAGTTATCAAATTTCATGTGGATAACATTGCTAACCCTTCTGTAAGGGAAGATTCATGGACTCCTAGAAAGAAATGTTAAGGTTTTGTGGCTTTGATTTATTTGGTTTTGGGGTGTTTTTGCTTTGAAAGTGAGGAAAATCACAGAGGAGTTAAGCTGAAGGGGTGAGTGTGCCCCTTCATAAAAGACACTTGGCTTCCCATTTTCAACAAAACTTCAGGAACTTTCATTTTTTAAAAATAACTTCCTTATGTGCTTTGGGTCAGTGATTTGGTTATGTGGGAGGTGTTGGCAGTAGAAATAGCTCTAGGCAGATGTGATTACCTGCCAGCACCAGGAGAAGGTGGGAATGCTGTGAGGAAATCCAGCTCTGTAACTGCAGCTGCACTAAGTGGTAATTGGCATTCCTTGTGCTTTGGTATGTCACATGTAAATGCTGCTCATTCGGGTCAGCAGCTCTCAAGTCTGCCCCTTTTCATGTGGAATTTAAACACCAGCTCAAATTCTGTAACACAGAAGAAAACTGTGATATGCAACTTCTTTTACTAAGGCAGATATTTGAAATTATTCTCTTCTCAGCCAAATTCTTAATCACATACTGTATACCTTGTATCAAGACCACTAATTCTGATTTATTTCAGCTAATTTATTGAAGACACAAACATTTCACTTCATATTTTTGGAAAATGCCTCTCCCATTTGTTTCTGCAAAGTTGAGGGCTCTATCAGAATGATGTCATAAAAAGAAGTTGAACTCTTTAGCAAAAGTGAGTTTGCAGTGATGTAGGTTATCATTATTATGAGTGCTAGGGACTCTGAAGAATGAAGTAATAAAATAAACAAATCTGTGCATATTTTGTATTTTTGAGTGAACTAAATGAGAAAAGGTTAAAATCATTGCTGCTTACCCTTCATTCAGATCAGTGGTGAGGGCAGGTTCCCAGCCATCAAAGCTTTGTATGAGTGTTCATGAGCTCAGGTTTGTGGATTTAAGAAAACAGACCTATGGAAAAATTTCAAACCTGATTTTTTAAAAAAGAGTTTGAAAAAATACAGTTAAAAAGCAAGTTCCTAGTAAATCCTCATCGCATTCAAGTCCACTTCAAATACATGAATAGAAAAAAACCAAGATTCATCTGCCTGTTTTGCTTTTTTCCTACTTTTCATACTTGTGTGCATCTAAATGCACAGCTATTTAGATGGCACAAAAGGAAACTTGATTATGGTTTCCATTTGTAGAACTTGGTTACTGTCTGTGCAGTCCTGCTGTGCTGTGGTAAGAATAGTTGTTTTCATATCTACATGAAAAAGGTATATAAATTAATTAAAGGTATGGACTAAATGTTTTAAACTGCACTTTTCATGTGATTTATCATTCTTAAAATTCATTGTGCTCCGTAGTATGTTCATGAAACTATTACATTGCATACAGTTAGTTACTGGAGTTGAATTTGCTTTAAGTAATTGAGAAAATCAGAAATAGACAATAATTGCTTATTGGTAATACACTTTTCACTCAGTTTTAATCTTTGCATTTGGGCAAAAAAGGTTTTCAGTGGGGAACATGGCTACCGGAATGTTTGCTGTGAAGTATTTAATTAAATGGTTCATTTTTTAGGACTGGTCATACACTTAGTTAGCAAATGTGTATGTTTAGATGGAAAACAGTTTTGTACTGGGAAGCTGGGAACAAAAGCTGATGAAATGATTGAACATTGCTATGTTAATAACTTTGTTACTTCAAGATGCTGCTTCACCTAAAATACAAGTCAATTTGCAGTGGTTTTATTTTAATGTGGTGTAAATAGAGGCAGTTGTATTGTCTGCCATATTCAAATTGAGTACAGAGAAAGCTACTTGTACATCTCAAACATAATCCTAATTTACTGCTTCTTTCTTGATGTATACATGATATAAAAACATCTCTGTATTCCTCAGGTATACTACTGGATATAATTGATGCCTTTTATTGGGAAACCCTGCAGTTTTTTGTCTCTGCCACAACTCTGTTGCATAATGCATGTCATATAAATATATTTGCTTGCACAGGTCTTGATACTTAGACTTGTTGGTCTTTTGTCTGGTTCTGTGGATCTGCTGTATGTCAAATGTGCTGTTTATATTTTTGTTACCAAAGCTTGAGTAACAACATCAGAAATACTTCTGTAAATCATCAGTAATAATCTGAATAAAATATATAGTAAAAACAGCATCAAGACTGTTTTCTTTACCAGGGAAAGTGGAATAGTTTGTCTTAGTAGAGCAAAATAAATAATGGAATGTGTCCTTTCTGTATTTGATACTAAATTTGATCTTTTCCAAAGGCACAGAAATACCCACTAACCAGCTTTATTCTTGATGTGTATTTGAGCTGTCATTGGGACTTACAAGGGATTTTTTAGTTCCATATTGATATGCATCCTTTTAAGGGAGGGGAGTTATGTATTATAAGTAAACAGAATTGCTAGTGACTTGTTGCTGGCCTGACAGCTTCCAAAAGTACCTAAAGACTTTGGTATAATTTTGCCTTTCTCATCTGCATAGCCTGTGCACAAGTCAAAGGATGTATAGTGTTACAGTGACAAATGTTATTACGGCTAAGTGTATATGAGGTTAGCATTTTTTGAAATAATGTTTAGTCATTAATCAAATTTTCTTAAAGAAGTATGTTTTGTTTTTAAGGTGAGGTTGCAGTGCAAACTGGAGATCTGTTGCCATGCAAGATTTGTGGAAGAACTTTCTTTCCAGCAGCGCTGGTAAGTGGTGTGAGCCCTGTTGACTTTTAGATTTGATAAGTTGATATGGAAGTTAAGCAGGGCTTACTATAGCTAAATAAAATGGATCTAGGTGCTTTGTTTTGGTAGGGGTTTTGTGTTTTTTCCCCTCCCAAGTAATTACTGATTCCAGTTAGCTCAGGTTTGAAGCTCCTTAGAAGGGGTTTAATTTTCTTTTAAGATCCCATCATTTTCTGAAATACATGCCTCTAAAAGCATCTTTTCTAGGATTACAAAATCAATCCTTGTCTTCTGTAGTTTTGAGTCTCAGCTAGTAAATGAAGTGTTTTGTTTGCCATTTCCATGACTGTCATCTCCATTGCTAATAGAAATCAGTCTGTCCTTCAATGCGAATATGAATTTCAGACACCTGTGATTTGTTTTGCCACTCAAATGGCCACCAAAAGCTGCCTACCTATAATCAGTTTTTTATGTGTAAGGAGCAAATGTAGATGCCTTCAACATTTCTTCATTATCACGTGTGGTTTTGTGACTCTCTATATACATCTCTGAATTCCTATAGTTCTGTGGCTGGCATAAATGTTTGAGGGAAAACAGTCTGAGTTTATTCATCAAGAGTTGGGGATTTTTTGCTAATATTTTTATCAAGAAAGAGGGAAATAATGTGTTAATAAGTTCTGTTTTCAAAACTAATTTCTGTATTCTTCTTTTATTTCACTTCTGCTTACAGAAAAAGCATGGACCCATTTGCCAAAAAACTTCTGCCAAGAAAAGGAAGACATTCGATTCCAGCCGACAGAGAGCAGAAGGAACTGACATTCCCACAGTAAAACCTCTTAAGCCACGGGTATGTTATAATTTACTCTGAATATGAACATTTTAGGCATACTATGTATGCATTTTAGTAAGACTTATTTCTGCTGGCAGTTCGTGTTAATTAGATCAACTAAGATTTGGAAGAAATCTTAACTATGATGTTATGTGCTAAAATAAGGTGCATACTTAGCTTCAAGTAAAAACTTCAAATATAGAAAGTTTTATTTTTTTGCCTCTTAGCCAGAACCACCCAAAAAACCTTCTAACTGGAGACGAAAGCATGAGGAATTTATAGCAACTATACGAGCAGCCAAAGGACTCAATCTCAAAGATGGTGGAAAACTTCCTCCACCACCTCCACCATCATATGACCCCGGTATGTAAAACAGTCAAGTTCCTTAGAGATTTTTAAGTTAATGTGAAGAAGTTTGAATTGAAAACAAATTTGTTGGAATGCAGCATTCACAGGTTCTTGGAGATGACTTACTATCCCTGTGCAGATGCCGGATTGCGACTTTGGATCTGGCTGGCTCACACCCTGTGTAGATTTCAAAGCCCGTGACTTTGTTTTTAATGTGTGGAAAGATAGCTGGGGCCAGTTTGCAGCTTGCTACTGTCTTGTACACCCTAGGCTGAACAAATTGTTTAATACCTTGTTTGTGCTCACAGCAGTAGCAGATTGCCTTTTTGATTAACTGACACCCACAGCATATCTACATTGTGGGAATGCACTTTTGTGTTTTTCAAATGTAATCTCTGCCATTTCTTGCTGAATTCACATTTAGTTTAATGTATGCAGTGTATTCCTTAATGCCTCATGTGTTTTTGGTATGTGAGATGTGTGGAGTTAGCAAGGGCAGGACAGTCCTTGGGTATCTTTGAACTGAGCCTGGGTAAAGTGTTCAAGCAGTTTGATGTGAATGAGAAGGAAATACACCTTTCATTTAACTTCTGGGATATGATAATAGGCTGAAGAATAGATTTCTTCCTTTTGTCCTAAGACCTAAACCATTTGATTGGCTGAATGGCTATTTCCAGAAGGATTGGGAAAAAACACGTTTGCTTCTGCCTATCTCTGCGGTCAAGTGAGGATGTGAAGTGTTCCCTACCCTGTTTCTTTCCAAAAGATGTGTTAGTCCAGCATTAGGATTGTAAGGATGCATTCATTGTAAGAGGATGTATTATTCAGCATTCTGTACTCACAATCCTGAAAAACCATATGGCTGATTTTAAAAAGTAAGGCCATCTTAAAGCCAATAGCAAATGCTGTGGATAAGAATCACAAGGCCTGATCATGGAAAGAATCATTAATAATCTATACAGCATATCTATCTTCTACCAAGTTGTAGTTGGTTTTAGTCTTCTTGCTTCAATCCTACTGCAGTAGGCTAGACTTAGGAAGAAGAAACCAGGAATGAAGAGACCATGCACAAAATGATCAGTGCATATTCTTCTTACAAACAGAGCAGGAGCAGCTACTGATGCTCCTTTTCTACTTATCATGTAGGAGAGTGGGAAGGCTGTGAACATACCATGTGTATCCCTCCTCTCCTACTCAGCTCTGTCTTGGACACACTTGTTTCTAATAAGCAGCAAGTCTTTTTCCTTTTAATGGAAAGAGTCTCATATTCATACTTTCTACTTAACTGCTGTGAGCTGGCAAGTATTGCTGCATCTTTCATTCTTCTTCCACTTTTTTGAGAAAGTGCAGAATGGCCTCAGGTTAAGAAGGACCTTAAGTCACCCTGAACTTGACTGTATGTGTACTGCCCTCTTATTTTGATTCATTTTTGTTTTATAAAGCTTACATTAAATCCTAGAGGTTCTTCTGGACAGTATGAGCAGTACTTTCAGAGAGCCAAGTGTCTGGCTGGCACTATGTGTTTACAAAAGGATAATGATACAATTCCTGATTCCTGAAAGTATACATTCATCCTCTCTAGTCTGATACATTTGTGGGCTTTGAAAGTTTTCTGCAGAAATTGAGCTCTGCACTAGCCAGAAATGGCATATTATCTAGGGGCTTTCACAGCTGCTTAATTTTTATTTTTTCCTCTTTTTTAATTTCTTTTAAATAATTTTGGTTTGACTACATATCTATTACAGTTCTGTTTCTGATTTTTTGTCTCCTAAGGTGTAGTTGATTTTCAAGTGTTCTGACAGTAGCAGAACGTATGTAAAATAAATAAATAAAAAATTGTTGTTTTCACCCCATGAGATTCTCATGCTGTCTCTTCTCTATGGTCTTCCTCTGTCCTTAGCTCACACTTCTTGGGTCACAGTTCATGGTTTGGTGGCCATTACATCATTTAACTTACTCAAAACTGTTTATAAATATTTAAAGGAACAAGTATTTATGCTTGATCTGCATTTGGACCAGTAACATGTAATCCAAAACTTATTTTAGATTTTATGATATCTATTGTAATTTTGGAGGCAGTGACTGTTGGATTTCATCTCATTTTCTACAATACATTTCTAAAATTACCTAGAAACACTAATTTCACCTGCTTTACCAGTGTCAAGATTTTGATGCTTGCATGGTTTTGAATGGTCTAATCTGGGGCGTACAGCATTTATATCTTTGGGCACTGAAATACACAGTTGTCTGAAACTGTAGTCCAAACAAATAATTTCCCAAGGGCACTGTATTTTAAGGTGTGTATTTCCAGTGTACAGATTATGTATCTTTTAACATTTTAAGCATTTCTGTAGCCCTTTCTGTTTTATCCCCAATGAGAGTAATATTCATGTACGTAATGCTGTTTGCAATGTGACTAAATTAATCTTGCAAAAGTAATGTGGCCACCAGTTACTTTCTTTTGCATGTCTCTAGAGATAGCTCCTTATTTTGGCTGGTTTTCCTCTGATTCTTTTTATTTGTAAAATTTCTGATTTTTTTAATAATGATCACTTCCAGTATTGCAGTTAGTATTTCTCAGTTCTTTCAAATTTGTCAGAGGAAACAGATTTGTTGTCTTTTGCTGCTTGTGTGGGAAAGGTTTTGATGTATTCCCATATCTTGAACAAACTGAACTGTTAATAATTTCTTTAGATTTTTGACTGTTTGTTTGTTCAGCTTCTTCTCTGCTTCCTTCCAGGTGATCTCTGTGCCGTGTCCCTTTACCTCTTTGGCTGCCTTCTCTGCAGAATAGCATCGCTTAAAGTGTTTCTGATTTTGCTTAGGTTATTTCTAATCTTCAGCTACTCTTATCCATCTAATGAGAATATGCTTTTACCTAGCAATCTGTATTTCATTTTCAGATTCAAAAAGCTATCATTTCTCCTGGAGGGGAGACTGGTCTTTAAAAGACTTTAAAACACTGCCATGTTTAAAACAGACTATTAATGTTATATTTCTACGTTTTTAAGATTACATTCAGTGTCCATACTGTCAGAGGAGATTTAATGAAAATGCAGCTGACAGGCACATCAATTTCTGTAAGGAGCAAGCTGCACGTATTACCAATAAGGGGAAATTGGCAGCTGATACCAAAGGGAAGCTTCCTGCTCGAACTCAGGTGAGCTAAAACACTTTTCTTAACTTGTAACTTGCATTCAATAGCAAATTAAGCTGGTTAAATAGTGTGCTGCTTTTAAAAAGAATGAACTATTTCATTCTGTAATTTTATTATTTGCACTCTCTGAAATTAGACACTAAGCATGAATGAGGCTTTTGCTTTCTTAAACTGCAGAGATCCATAAGTCAGATGGCAGCAGTTGCAAAATGAAAACCAGTCATAAATGTAATTGAGAAATATTCAAATGTCAAGTAAAGATAGCAGGAGGAAAGAGAGATGCAGTTTTTGTAAAGGAAGTTGAATTTCTGTTGTGCTAGTTTCTAAATTCAGTTGAAGACTTGCTTAAGGGGCAAACAAAGGTACCTGATACATGACAACTGACAGCAGTGTAGTGGTTAATTAGAGGCTTTAGAGGGATTCATGTGTATTACACAGTATTTTGAATTAGTGCAGGGACTGGTCCAGACCACACAGGTGAAAGTAAGATTTGGATTTTTGAAAGACAAAAATAATTCTACCTTTGAGTATTCGCTTTCGTTTTTATTAATTAATTAATTAATTTGCAATGAGATGATACTTTTAATCTTAACAAAGCCACTAAGTTACGGAATGTTTCCTGCTAGTATCACCTGTAGGTATTAGAAAGCAGACTATCTGAAACCATTTGCATGTTCCCATACCAGAAACAGGTTACCTGGTAGGAAATCATCCTCTGTTCTCCCACAGTACCTGAAAGAACTACCTGTTGTGTTATAGAGATAGCTTGATTTAATTGCTTAAATTTCTAGGTTGTATTTTGTTACAGTACAAACCTGCTCCAGTTAAGAAGATGCCTTCTGTAGGATCAACACCATCACCATCGTCACGCTTACCACAGCCAAGTGGTGTTAGCAAAACTGTTGTAGGTATGAAATGGATGTTATGAATTGTTCCATGTCTTTTCTAAATAATAATTCTCAAACTATGTAGTAAAAATTGATTGTTTATTTGATATAGTGGTTTGTAAAATCTCATTTAAAATAAATTTGGAAGGGGCATGGATTGCCATCTATCTAAAAAGACTCTTGATTACTTAGAATTCTGGTTTATATACCGGTTTTTTGTTTGTTTGTTTTTTTTTGTCTGAATTGGGTATGAAAAATCTTTTGGGGTAGTAATGCATGATTGTATCAAAAATTGATCTCTCTCATGCTTAATTGTGTAACTAATCTGCTTAATATGATCATAAATTGGTGAAAATGTATAGTCGAGGTATGTATATTAGAATGATGCAAACAGCAGTCTAATTTGGGTTTCAGATTATCATCAGATATCAAACATGTTCTGTTTGTACATACTTTGACTTTTCTTCTCCCTTTTTTCCTGAGCAAAGTAATTGAGATACAGTGTGTTTTCTTAGAATAAAATACTATATCTCAATTACCTATTTTCTATACATTTCTTGAAACATTTTTTTTGTATTATCTTGATACTGACTCACATCTCTGTATTTCTAAAAATCTTGTTATGAATTTTGCAATTAAAATGTTTTAATAAATTGTATCATTTCAGCAGCAAAATCTTAAATTTTCTTACATTTTTGTGCTTGCTTTTCAACTGCAAGGTGTCTCTTCAAGTAAAGCACTGTCTTCATCTGGATCCAGTGGGAGCAAAATTCAGACATTATCACCAGGTCATAAAAACTCACCGGGAGCGGTGAACCCACAGGCAGGGTGAGTTCCATCTAATGTTGTCATTTGTGCTTTATTTCAAGTTTATGTTGTTCTAGTTTTAGAAGTCTTTGTGGTTTGGTTCACTTACTTTTTCTTTTTTTTCCTATGAGCTTCGGAAGTACAGTGTTTTGCATTTATCCTTTATCTGTAAATATAGCTAATGTTTAAGGAACATTGGAGAAGGCAGAGGTTTTATCAAGTTGATTTAACAACAAAGGAGGTCAAGAGATAAAAATAAAATATACTAAAAGTGAAAGAATGGGCAGAGGTGGTTGGAGTAATGAATTTTTTGTTGGTAAAAGTGAAGGGTCCTAGAAAAGCAGAAAATATTAGGCATAATTTCCTACACTGCATGGAAATATAAGAAAGAGGTTTCTGCCATAGACTACAAGGCAATTGTGACAGGATCTTCTCTCTTAGCACAGAAGGATGGAGGCTTTCCCTTTTCCCTTTCCTAAGAGGCAACAAATTAGTGAGCACAAATAAGAGAAAACCAGTGCACTTACAGCAGCAAGGAGTGCTACGTGAAACTTATTAGTGTTCAGTGTAAGTGCTGGTGTGATCAAGGCTGTGACTCATGCTTTGCTGGAGGGGTAGACATTTCACAGAATCTGACAGAGAAATCTGTGGAGGGGATTGAAGAAAAATTGTTGAGGAGCACCAAGGAGCACTGAAAACACAAAACATAAAAGGAAGTGATTGCAATTATAACATTGGTGATTGAAAAAGATTTATTTCTATAAAAATGAGTGTCCTGTTGATGAAGACAGTATAATGTGAAGAAAAACAGTATCTTACGCTCATGAGGAAGAAAAAGGACATTTTGAAAACTTGTGGGGTTGGACAGCAATTACATAAAACTAGAGATTTTTAATTTATCACTCTTAAATTTTACAGGTTATGCATGAATATGAATTACAGCTCTGTCGTGCTTCCCTCCTAATGCCCTGTCGGATCAGGATTCAATTCTGTCCCTCCCTGCTCTGTCTACTCATGATAACTCTTAACAGACACAGGTCGCATGTAGAGTTCATAAGGTTGACAGATATCTTTCTTTTTTCATTTCCCCCCTCTCCTGGTGTCTCACTAGTCTTTGGTCAGCTTCAGTACCATTTGTAGGCATCTCTGCTGTGACTGTCAGAAAATCCCAGCCCCTTGCCCAGTGATTTTCTTTATTTCTCCAATGTTTAGAAGTTCAATTAGCACCTACTGATGAGTGGCAAACAAGCAGGTCTGCAAACCACAGTAAAAACAGTCAGCTGAAATAATTTGAAGGCATGTTTCTGAATCCAGTGGTGTAATCCAGTTGTCTGGGAAAGGTTTTTTGCTGTTGAACATTCCTAATTGAAGTCTGTATTTGTCAGTGAGGATGCAGCAATTTTGATCTTCACTTGTTAACAAGGAAGTTCTATGTAATTTTACCAGTCAGTTGTGTTGCAATAAGCATATGAAATTTGGTAGAAAATAAACACCCTTGTGTTCCATCTATTCCTCAGAGATCAGAGGGGCTGAGTGCAGCGTGGCTTCATTTCTGTTTGTAACCAGTTAGGCACTGTGGCTAGTTATGTTCAATAAGAACTTTTACAATTCCAGATTCACAAATAATGTAGCTTATTGAAGCAGCAGATCATTGACTCTTGTTAGATTACTGGTGATAAATGAAGTAGATCTCCAAAATGTTGTACAACTGTTCCCGGCTATACTGTTGATGCAGCCAGAGGCACAAATCTTACCAAGGAGTCATCCCTGCTTTGGGGAGGGGAGAGAGAAGCAAGGCCATTGTCTATGAAGTAAGGTCATGTTCTCATACTCTAAAAATGGAGGATTTCAAATACCAGTTTTAGACTTTTTGGAAAAGTGGAGGTATTACTGTAGTCAAATATAATTGCTTACCAGTTACTGTGATCCTAGTTGGTGGATAAGCAGCTTTTTTCTCATTTTCATATTGCTGGGTGCATTTTTCCAATGTATTAATTATCTTTGGATACTTTTGGCTGAATTGGTTGTAACAAAGGCAGCACAGATCCCTAATAATTCAGCATCATCCTCCACCCAGGTGAGGGAGCAGTGAAGACCACCTGACATTACTCCTGTCAGGATGTTACCATCTCACATCATCTTCCCAAAGGAGCAGATTTGTGACAGAGGCTGGTTGTGGATGGCTAAGGTGGAGTGAGGCTGATACTGAGGTCTGGGAGCACTCCTGTGCCTCCCTGAGGCACCACTGGGCTGAGAGACCTCTGCCTCACCCGGGCATCACTCAGTTGTTAAGCCTTGCTCCAGCCCGGTGCAAGATAAGCAAGTGACTCACATTTTTGCTCAGCCTTATGAATTCCCCAGAAACTCACAGCATCTCTGTATCTTGACATAATAAGTCTGGCAATTTTCCACATTTGCTTACTGGACTTTGTTTTCAGTAGTCTTCCATTTTCTCCACTGTTGCTTGGAGAAGAATCTGTGACATGATGAAGCCAAATAGCAGCTGGGGAGGTGTTTGCCCAGGTTCTCCCTGTTTATGCATTCTGCTAAGCACAAATAGATGGCTTCTGGCTGGCACAGCTCTCAGATAATGATCTCTGCTGAAAGACAGTAAGTGTTAGCTTGGCTTATAACCTCAATTGCCTACACAATTTCCACATTTAAAGAATATGGGTGTGATGAATGTGTTTCTGCCTGCAGTCCTTCTGAAAAACTTATTGTCTTCTGTTTTCCAACTCACCCTTCTGGCATTTGCTGCTTGTACTAACCAACCTTCCACAGGTGGCTGTTACATGTGCCTGGTTCCTAAGTGTTGCATCTATAACCTGGCATTTCTTTTTTTAGCTTCATTGTATTCACTTCTGGGGACAGATTTGTCAGAAGTTATATTGAAGCAAAGAGGTGTAGGAGCCAGTTACATCATCGAAAAGTTAGATTTGTTGGATTGGTCACTGGTGACAATTTTGGCCTTAATCATCTCAACTCAGTATTGGGGCATGAAGGGGAAATACATATGGTTCTCTTGAAATACCTACAGAATTTTACCACTGACAGTCAATGTCCTGCATGAGAGTGAAAGTAATTAATACTGCAGTGGCAGATTTTAAACACTAAAACATCTTACAATTTAGGCTATAGATAAGTGCAGCTGGAATTACTTTCTAAAATAGAAGAACTTTTGAACATTGCCCTTCAGTAGCATTAAATAAGATCTATTTCTTTTACTACATTTATGATTTAACCAGTAGAATGAAGCCTTAGTGTGAGATCTGGGATTCTGGTACACTGAAATCAGACAGAGCTTATGCTGGAGGATAAGATGTTGTGCTCTTCTGAATTGATAGTGAAACAATTTGCTGAGCAGTGTTGTGTGGGGTTATTTTTAAAGGCAGTCTTTTAAATGGAATGTTAATCAATCACTTTTTCTTTTCTCCTTGACAAATATTAAAGAGCCTACACACGTTATTTTGACCAGGTTAAATTTCAGGTTTTGCTGTAAGAGACAAGTTCCTGCAGTTTGCAGTAAGGGAAGCTGTAACTTTGGTGGGTTTTGAGGTATTACTTCAGTGTGTAACCTTCCATCTTTGCCCAGATTCTTGTAATTCTGGATTTTCCCAGAGATGTAATAGAAGAGAAGCTTAACAGTAGAATTACAATTCTATTGTGCAATATCAAGGATGAATTCCGTGTACCGAGTGATGAGGACAGCGCTGCGTTCTGTGGGGCCGCGGTCGCTGTTCGTGCAGGGACGCGCGGAGCGGCCGCAGGGGGCGCTATGCTGAGCGCGCAGTGCCGCCCGCGCCCGCCAGGTGGCGCTGGCGCAGCGCGGGCCGGGCCGGGGGAGCCCGGTCCAGAGAGGGAGCTCGGAATTACCCATCCATCGCCTGTAAAGCTCGTGTGCGGCACCGCAGCAGCAGGCACTTTTTCTGTGTACGGCCAGGGGTGGAACCCTAACTATGAATCCTCGCCTGTAAAGCTCGTGTGCAGCACCGCAGCAGCAGCTGGCACTGTTACTGTGTACAGGCAGGAGTGAAACCCTAACTTATGACCTCAGTTGTTGTAAGATATTTTCACTGTGCACTGTCCTTTTTTTAAAAAAAATTGAATTCTCCCATTCTGCTCCCCAAGTGAAGGACTACTGAGAGAACACAGCACAGTATCATCAACATAAGCTGTGCTAGTGCCAGTCAGGCTTTGTGTGAGTAGATCAGGATGTGTCAGCTGAGTTCTGCTGTGAGTTTTCTGCCTGGACAGGGAAAGGACACAGACAGTCCTTCCAGTATGAATGAAAGTGTTGCATAAGGGCATCATTTCTGGGTCATACAGAAGCGAGTGAGGAGTTGCATATGACTATTGTAGTCGGTAGGAAAATCTTCATTCATTTGGATGAAAATAGATTTTTATCCTTTTGATCTTGAAGAACTGAAAAAAGGAAAATTAATTCTATATAAGTTATCTGTCATTAGGCTTATAATTTGATATCATGTTGTGAAGCAAAGTTTGACATGCATTTTTTTACAGTATACAGGTTAGTGGTGTCTTACATTTCTTGAGGTATATGGCTGTCAGAAGTAATCAGATGTTCAGGAGAAAAACTTGGGTAGGTTCTTCCTAACCTAAGGATAAGCAAACAAGTGAACCCCACACCCACATGCAAACTGTTTTGTCCATCAGAACCAGACACTGTTTGTGGCCAGACAGGGATCTTTTGTGTGTACAGATTGTCTGTACATGTTTCATTTGTGAACAGGTATGTTTGTTTGGGTTTTTTTAATGAGACTTGGAAATTATATTTTTTAATATGGCAAATGAGCCCTTAGGAATTAATGTTTAATTTTTGTTTTATTTTGGGGATGAAACCTACATTTTAATGTTAATGTTTCCCTCCTGGAAATCATGTCTGCTAGTGATACATCCACTACTGTCTTACAGCTGAAATACAATATGAGCAGCACACCAAATCAATAACAGTAAATTTTAAATTCCACTTACATGTTTGCCATAAAGCATTTGTAACCTTT